TGCCCATGCTCCAGTCTCAATGATGGGTTTCCCTAGTGGTTAGAGAAGCTAGAAGTACAGTCTTGTGTAGTTTTGGATAAAGTCTAAATCCCAGATACCTAGTTCCTCTAATGAAATCATAGAAACATAGAATCATCAAAGCTGGAGGAGATCTCTAAGAACATTCAGTCCAACCATTAACCTGTCACTGCTGGAACCCCCAAACCCTACACCAGATCCTCCAGTGTCAGATCCAGACACCTCTGAAACACTTCCAGGAATGGTGACTCCACCACCTCACTGGGCAATATCCCAGTGCCTGAACACCCTCACAGGGAAAACATTTCTCCTAACATCTGTTCTGAATCTCCTGTTGCAGCTTATGACCATTTTCTCTAGTCCTCTCTCTGCAGAAGAGATCTTTTCTGCAGAATGGAATAAGCATTGACACTGCCATCTGTGTCTTGAAACTGTAGGTGAGCTGGTTGCATCAAGGGATGAATTGAGTCCAAAAGTCCATAAACTCACCTCAAACCTATGGCTGAGAAATGCACCAAGTTCAGTCATGTTTTCATCAAGTTTCCCTCTCTCTCCTGCACTCTGAGCTTGCTTAGCTGTCCAACTCCAGGTCTGTAAATGCTACTTTAAGAGTCAGAGAGGTAAGAATTAGAGAGAACTGTGCCACCTTTATGTTTCTTTTTTTTTGTTAATATTACTCCTAAGCACTTGTGTGTCCTGGTCCATAAAAAAAAAAGCTTTTAAGTCTAAATTATGACTTCCCATTTTTTACAAAGAATTTCTGATTCAGAACAGGCAGAATCTAAACTAACAAACTCGAAAAGCACCACCAGAGTTAAAAAATAAAAGCCCTTTCCCCACTTTTCTCATGTTTGCAGCTCTTATGTTTAGCAAGTCATAATGAATCATCTGTATTGAAACTGTACAAAGCTTTATGAAACTTTAGTTCTGTTTGTATTTCCTTATTGTGTCAGACAAATTATACAACTTCCTTTTATGAAAACAGTGGGATGTTATTAAAACTGGGTAGGATTTTGCTTTGTGCCCACACTGAATAAGCAATGAAATACAGTTCTGTACCTGAAAATCAACAAATAAACCCAGCTCCATGTAGTTTTTAAACAAAAGCCTTGTGCCAGGTCTGAGTCCTACAGCAAGTCATATTGACATATCATAAAAAACTAAATTAAAGCGTTATTTTAAGAGCTATTTTAAGAGTTTTCATACAAAATCAGGTCTTAAATTGCACTGTGAGCCACCCAGTTGCCACATGATATTTAATTGAGGGCAAAAATAATGTCCATATGATGTTTTTCTTAGGCTACAGAGGTGCATAGATTAAGGTGACAGAGGTGTGGAATCTGTCTCTGTATTGCAGAGTCATGCCAGGGTGGGACCTCCAAAACTGGCTGGTGGGTGATGTGAACTGAAGGTAATCCTTGGGCACAGTGATGGAGAGAAAGTGGAAATCTGAGAGGAGGATGAAGAAGGAATAGTGTCTCATCTTCCAAGAGGGAGATTTAATGGAGGAATTACTGTGAGCTGCAAATTCAGCATTTCCTCTTTAAGAAGATTTAATCAACAGGTTGCCTGGGTGAACTGGACAGCAACAAACTCAGTGAGATGAGGAGGATTAATGAGATGTCTGGAGTGTCATAGAAAGGGGCTAGACATACATCCTGAAAAAGAGGAGTCTGTGCAATTTGATCAGTGTATGTTTAACAGACATGCTTAAAACTGACCCCCAAAGTCCTTATTAAACATTCTAAGAGTTGTGGAGCATTATATAATTACTCATTGTAAGTAGGGAGCAAAACATTCTAATGATGGGTTTATATTCGAACTAGAGAAAAATAATGAAGTCTTTCTAAAATACTAATAGAACCAGTGCACAGATGGAGTCAAATCTCTCTCCTTTGCTCCATTCCTAATCTTTTCTTTGACGAAATCAGTGCTCCAGATTTTCAAGGAGTGTAAAGCTGTAGAGCAGCTAGAATCTAATAGACTGCTCTCAGCTTTTTCAGTCTGGCCCCTAAACTTGTGAAGTTTATTTTTCTTTTTTTTTTTTTTTTTCCTAGCAATTAGTAAATAGGACTGGAAGAAAATCTCCTTTTGTGCCATTAGTTCCTGTTAATGGTTTTGCTGGCCATTAGCCAAGAAGCAATGCTGCAGATGCCAGTATAAAATATGTTCTGATATATAAAGTTGCACTTTTTATTTGTTTTCAGGGTTATTTCATACTTGCAGACAAAAAAAAGTTCTCCTTTATGAAGCACATTACTTATGTTTTAAATAGCAATAACTACAGCAATATCTTATTACAAGTAACTTACTCCATGCCTATAGGTGCTTAGGCCTGGCCTTAAAGAAAACTGAAGTGGTTTAGGGCATGAATTTAAATCCACTGTGTATGGGAATTCTTAAACACTTTAACCTGGATCACACCTTGTGCTGATAGTTTACAAAGGTAAATTAATTCAAGATCTCCTTTTTTTTTTTTCTGTTAGATTGGTACAGAACTATTTACTCAGTAATTTTAATTGTACACTGATTTAAGGTGAACTGATGCAGGAAAATCATGCCCAGAAGGGGAAGAATTATTATTCAAAATCCAGAGATGAAATAGGAACTCAGAGAAATAAGGCTATTTCCTTGGACTGGAGGATAGTGCAGGACAGGTGAGTTTCAGGAAGAAATAATAATGAGTAGCCTCTACTATTGAGAGTAGAAAAAATAGGAGATGCATCTTGTTGTGGTTTAACCCCAGCCAGAAACTCAGTCCCATGTAGCAACTCATTCACTACCCCACAGGGGGATGGGGGAGAAAACTGGAAGAGTAAAAGTGAAAAAAACTATGGGTTGAGATAAAGACAGTTTAATAGGTAAAGCCAAAGCCTTGCACACAAAAAAAGCAAAACTAGTAATTCATTCGCTACTTCCTATGGGCAGGAGGTGTTCAGCATCTCCAGCAAAGCAGAGCTCCATCACACGTAAAGGTGATGTGGGAAGACAAATGCCACCAGCCCAAATGTCCTTTCTTCTTCTTCTCTCAGCTTTTATTGCTGAACATGACACCACATGGTGTGGCATATCTTTGGTCAGTTGGGGTCAGCTGTCCTGGCTGTGTCCCCTCCCAACTCTTTGTGCACCCTTAGCCTGCTCATTGGTGAGGTGGGGTGAGAGGCAGAACTGTGTCTTTTCAACACTTCAGGGATGGTGACTCCAACACCTCCCTGGGCAATATGCCAGTGCCTCAACACCCTCACAGGGAAAATATTTCTCCTAACATCTAATTTGACTCTGCCCTGTCTCAGCTTATGACCATTCCCTCTAGTCCTCTCCCTGCAGCCATGGCAGGACACACATCCCCCACCTCTCTCCAACCCTGGCAGGGAGTTGCAGAGAGCCAGGAGGTCACCCCTGAGCCTCTTCTCAAGGCTAAACAAACCCAATTCCCTCAGCCCTTCCTCATACCACATGTTTTCTAGACCTTTTCTGGGCCTCATTGCCCTTGGCTGGATTCACTCCAGTGCCTCAATGTCCTTTATAAAGTGATGTGCCCAAAACTGAACACAGCACTGAGCTGTGACCTCCCCAGTGCCAAGTTCAGGGGGATGAGCACTGCCCTCGTCCTGCTGCCACACTGTTCTTGATTGTGCTGGTTTGATACCATTAACCTTCTTGGCCCCCTGTGCACACTGTTGGCTCACACTGAGCCACTGCCAGCAGTACTCCCAAGTCCCTTTCTGACAAATGACACTTGAGCCACTCTTCCCCCAGCCTGTAGTGCTGCATGGGGTTGTTGTGTCCCAAGTGCAAGACCAGCACTTTACCTTATTGACTCTCATACACTTGTCCTCAGCCACTGATGA